CTGCTGAAATTATATTTGTATCTTTTTTTTTTATTCTCATAGCATATCGAGATATACCAAGCTTTATATTTCTCACATAAAAAAATTTATATGCATTAAATAATCTTTTTAATTCCTTTTGAACAAATTTTACAATTAAGCGCCAAATGTAAAATAGGGAGATCTTCTCGTGAATATATCTTATGGATATTATTAAAAAATTGTTATTTAATTTTATTAGAGATAAGATTAAAAGATCGAGATAAGACAAAAAAATATTTTGATAATCACAATCCTTTTTTTTTTATTTTGAAGCTTAGAAAAACTTGTTATCCTACAGAGTAAATGGCCAATTACTTGATTTAACTTATTTTACCTGAATACATACTTGACGCATGCTTTCGTGCGACACGAGTTTGCACGTGTGCTTATAAGATCAATCATCAGACGACGTCGGTCCCCACGCGATTGAGAGAACTTGTGGTTTTGACATTTATGCGGAATGCGTGAGAGAAACCAAGCAAGGACGCGAACATTGATTCTGACCCAACAACCACCCAAGCCCCGCCTAACTCACCCTTGCTTTCTCAACCCTCCTCATGGTTTTCGAACGACAGCTTCTCTACGTTGCCGAATTCTCGCGGTCCCTGCTCACGAATGCTATGCGAGCTTATATAAACCGAGGTATTAGGGTCGTTCGCGCTCTATGTACATAGAGAAGCAAGTTTGGGGTATCAACGAAGCTTTGAATTCATAAAGTGAACTAATATGCGAAAAACTGATAGGAAATTAATTAAGTTAAGATATACAGAGAAAATATAAAATCTTCTGATATATCGAAAGAGTAACATATTAGTTACAATGCTGTAATCATAAATATAATTAAATATATATTATATATGAAATTATATGAACATCATTTTTTAAATGAATTAAAAAATCTAACTACAAATTTTCTAAAAATGATTGTTTTTTATGTAATTAAATTAAATTTAGTAATTATTTAATTTAATTTAATTTAATTTGCGAGAATTTAAAGGCGAGAGAAATAATAATTCTCCGTTAGTAAGCAAATCTTTTTCCCTTACAGAAACTTGAGCAAGACGATGACGACGAGTATCTCGACTCCCCCTGGGCCGACAGTGGCAGTCTGAAGCGGCACTTTCAAGGTCTGAATAATATTTCGTGGAGACCACACTGAGCGATTCTCATGTCGCGTTTGTAAAAAAAAAAATCAAGATGTTACAAAACTTGGCTAAAGAAGCTTCAACGATCGAGGAAGAGCCAAGTTACCTTTCTCTCAGGATCGACTAAAAAAAGAATCCACCCTCGCGATTCACGGAGTGAACCAGAGGCACACTCGGTACCCCGAGCACAACTCGAATACACGGTGATTACAGAGGAAATCTCGATAAATCTGCCATTCTCTCTATTGTAAATCTGTTCCCGACTAACAAAGACAGCGCCGACTACACCTACAGATATCACAATGATATTTTGCGACGAACTTTTTCGTACTCGATAATAGCTCAATCGCGCGAAGTCGCATAAGTATATCATATAATTCTGTCGCAGCTCGCGCGCACCAGGAGATCCCAATTCTCTTCGAGTGCGATGCTCGAATACGCCGAAAAAGTTCTTCGTTTCTTGCAATGTTTAACGTTTGGCACGCGGTAAGCCATTTATTCCGCGTGCCGGAATTGATTTACCTCGCACGATGCCTTCTTCGTAGCTTTGTCAAAGTGCGATCCGAAACCAGCTCGCGTGTATCTCGTGCCTATCGCATTCCGCAAACACGAAGAATCTGTCCTTACGTCGTATATGCAAGCGCGTTCACAGCGTACACGCTATATATTTTTGAGCGATTTTCCACAATTGCGGCGGCAGATGATCGTCCTGCGTGAAGGGGAAAGATAGATCTGTCATTTTGGGAGCGACACAAGTCCAGAAACATTGAAATCCACGCTATTTCTGAATAAAGAAGAAAAAGATGCATGTATGTGAAAAAATTATAAATATCAAAAAAATTTATATATACTATACAGGATAAAAGTTTATAAAATGGCCGATTATAAATCTGTCTCTGGACGAATCGTAAATTTCTAGATTGACATATTATTGAACGATTCGATCTCACCAAGTTACGGACTACGTGCTTCTCAAAACGATCGATATGAATTTTTGCAACGAAAGTGCACTCCGAGTATATAAACAAATGGCTCTCTCTCTCTCTCTCTCTCTCTCTGGTTCACTCAACGATACCGAGCGGACGTCCGGAGAACGCAGAGGAAGGAAGGAAAAAAAAGGGAAAGATGCGTGAAGAGGATCAACAAACTCGCAGCATCACACGCTATCTGTATATTAGGGTCACGAGTTATCTATGGACTAAAAAATTTAATCAGTAAACATTATGAGCTAAACTACCGTTAAACGTTACGAGTATTAATCAGGTAATTTGCTTGTTGTGTGATCATGATGCGTCCACTCACCCATGCATCGTAGACACTTTTTATCAGACCACGACACACCATGTCCGTTCCACTTTTAAACTAACTAAACTTGGCGACACGCTTTTTTGCAAGTATAAAACGCGCGATTCGCAAGAGTCCACCCCCGCACCCCGTTGCGGCCTCGTCCATATTATATATACTATGATCTTCACACGCACAAATTCCAACGTTTTTTCAGGTACCTGACTGACACACATGCTCGAAGAAACGTAGGTACCACTTCGCGAGTCTTACGACTGCTATATGTATACATATATATATATATATGCGCGTTTAAATCGATACGAGTAACACACAAGGCGAAGAAACACGTATAGCAGTATATTATACACACGGTATGACAAAAGAGCAAACTTCAGCGAGCACAAATCCAGATACTCGCTGTTTTTAGATGCGCTCAGTTATTGCTTTTTACATCTCTAACGAGATAAATTATGACGCAAATTTTTTTATAGAAAAAGCAAGAGAAGAAAATAATATCAAGAGGCTAAAAGAAACGGATGTCGTTACCTAAATCTTTTCAGTATCATTTGTATTTTAACATTATATTTTTATAAAATTGAGCTACTTCGTAGTCCTTCGAAAGGGGGCAAAACTTATATTTGAGCTTTGTGGTTTATAAATCACGATCTCAATCAATCGTAATGAGCTTCGTGCTAGTTCTAACACTTAAAAAAAGAACGGCTTATCTTATTATCGTTTCAATATCAACCGCGAATATAATTAGTTGTACGCTGCATTATGATTTTATAAAGCGCTAACGTCGCCTGGAATATCGACCAAACGTTTGCCGCATGGAAACTGATCCTAGGAATAACAGAGTATTATCTCAAGATATCTGAATATTTCGTTATAATGTTTGTATCGAAACGTTAAATACTTCATTAAAAAGGATAAATTATTTGCGATTATTTACGACGCTTGTGGAGCTCTTGAAAATGTTAATGTTTCATGCGGCCAATAAATTAATTAAATTGGCCAAAGTGTAAAAAAAAATCGCATGTAATTAATGCTCAACATCGATTCGCGTTTCCGGAATTCGTGCTACTTCTGCGATCATATACACACATGCACATATACACGACACATACCATCACGAAAGGCACATTCTACACACATCGATAATCTATGAAAAAGAAGAAAAGATAATTGAATTGTTTTTATGGATTAAGAACAAGTTGTCTGTGATCTACAATAATTAAAAGAATATTTAATAAGTATTAACAGATACAAAAGTATAATTGATATATAAAATGTCGATAAAATGTTGAACGAATATGGGAGAAAGAAAAATAATCGATTAGATTTTATTGATACACGTTGAGCGCAAGTTTCTCGAAGCATTGGTAGAGCAATACGATAGCAAGAGAGAAATAAAATATTGTGTGAAAAATTAAAGTCGCTGCAAAAGAGAATTCTAGAAAAAAAAGAGGTATATTATATATAATTATAACAAAAATATAGAGACTTATACGATAGAGCACGCAACGTCAAAACATTTTAAATCGCTGTTGTTAATTTCTGCGAACTCTGTATGTACTATAGAACGCGCTTTCCCATATACTTCTTATATGGAAAAAGCGAGCCAAAAGAGAAAAAAAGAGTATGCTTCTATCCTTTGAGCATATTGAAAGCTTTGTATAAGCTCTGTTAAAAGTTTTAATTAGTGTTTATTATGATCAGGCAATCTTTATCTATAGAATCTAAAAGAAACTTATTAAAAAGTTATACTGTAAAAAAAAAAGAGAAAATTAAAAAAAATCTCTTTTGACTCATTGATGCGCGTTCCAGTATATAAAGTTCAGTGATCTGTACTAACTCGCGATATAAAAACAAAAGTGCGTGCTGCGTTCGGATAGTACCAATAAATATATATATATATGTATATATAATTATGTGGCACTTGACCGTCGCGGCTAAAAGTACATAGGATTAGATAGATTTATAGAAGCGCAAAACACCAAAAATCGTTCCTTCCACCCGCTCCGGCCGTGTATTCGATTATCGATTTTAAGTATATCGCATCTCATACGTGAAGTTAAAGCTCTGTGAAACTTAATAAAAGCGCACCTCGGAACGTAATTTGCATCATTTTATTAAAATAATGAAAAAAGAAAAGAAATGATATATATAGTTGCCCTGAATAACATCATTGAATAAGTTATTCAACGAGTGTGTTCGCAAAAGATAATTTTTGTACAGTTCTTGCACACACGAGAAGAACATGCAACATTGCCGTCGTCGTCTTTATATTTATGTACATTTCAATTATTATGAATTTTTCGATATTATTATCGAACTATGATCGATTTCGTGTGAAAGTGTATATGGCTTTTTCTGCGGTTAACAATAAAATGTTGTCAAAGCTTTTTTCACGATATATATTTTATTAGATTTTTCTTGTACCTTCCTCTTATCTTAAATTTACCTAATATGTCCTCGTATGTCGCTTTCAATCTCATATTCGCTAAATAATTATGCATTATGTTATGTAATATGTGAATCAAATTACATGGTAATTTTTGTGATAGAATAAATCGGTTTTGACACATTATTATTATTAATAAGAGAATTTTTATTCAGATATAAAAAATTCAATATGAATTTTTGAATAAAGTTTCCTCCCTTTGCACCACTGCATCACTGTAAAAAATGCTGTAACAGACAGAAATTTATTACTTTTGTAAAAAGGAATTCATGATAAAAATTGAAATGCCATACAAATATCAGTATATGACGAACAGTTTATCATCTTTCATTCAGGACTCTAGCCAATTTTCATCAGATCATTTACTACATAAAAAGGCTATTTGTGTATATGTAATCTATTTATATTTTTGTAATAAAAGATGTTACTAATAATTTTTTTTTATTTAAAAAAAATTTAGTTGACTATATCATTAATAAAGCGCAGCCTAACTTGTTACAATATTCTTCACTCAATTTATATTTTCTATCATGCCTAATCTTTTTTTGTCGAATTTTTTTTTTTTTTTTTATGTGTTAATTAAGCAGTAAACTTTACCTTTTTTTCACTTGTTGGCGAAAGATATCCTTGAGTGTCTCGTGAGATCCCTGTACAAAACATTTTAATTAAAAACTAGAAGTAGATAACTAATTAACCGAGAAGCAAAATATAATTCAAGACTTGCTTCAGTTAAAAAAATGTACACGTTGGAATTAGATTTTTTACATCAGGTTTCAGCCCCGAAAGAATATCATCATTGCAGTCTTGATATTTTATATGAATATTGATAAAATTATAATATTAGATATTACATATTTATATCATTCGTTTTTAGGATATACATATAATACGTATCATTAAAACATGTGTGCACGTATTTTTTTTTAAATAAATATTTCTGACAATATTCTCACCTTTAATTATAATTGATGTGTTCCATGTATCATATCAATTTGCGTTTTCTTCTCTTCATTATGGACCTTTAACACAAAAATAAAGAATAATAAAGTTGACGACATATCGTAGTTATCGTATTAATCGTGTAAATCATGTCTCGATTAGATTCAGTACACGTTAGGACAATTATAAATCATTAGATCATTAGATCAGAATCATTTATCATAAAATCTATCATCATAACAAACGAATCAGTAAAATAAAAAACGATAATATATATGTTATGTGTGTATGTGTGCATACAAAGTATATTAAAAATTTTACAAACCTTAACCATATACGGACTAGGTATTATGTACTTCATGTAATAATGTCGAGTATGGGCGCTGTTTCAAGATATCAGACTGTAAATCATAAGAAAAAATTATATTATTAGGTGTAAAGAATATTCATCAATATCGATAAAATTTTTCAAGCATCATCAGTACATTAGGATCGTTTTACTATCACAGATCTTCGAAATGAATAATATTTATGTTATAATGTGCAAATTTTATTAAGAACAAATCAGCCAATGATATAGCACAAATTATTGTAAAATAAGCAAACTTTATACACATTTACGCGAAAGAAATGTAATCGCACATGTAGACTCTAATTGTCAACACTTAAAACTGTTTAAAGCTAACTAAATGAGAGATAATATTGAAAACTACCTATATATTTCTGAATGGTCTTTCTGTTCAACCAGCTGGTGCGCTAATCTGAAAACACATAACATTTGATAAATATATGCTTGTTAAGAATGTTGTCTTTAGGTGATTTAGATTTTAAAAACTTGGACGTTCATGTATAATTAACTTCAGCCTATAAAACACGAAATATAAGTTGTTTGATGAGCTTTGATAGCATTATGTATTTTATGTCAATATTTGATTGCAAGCATAATAATTTTTAACGCTATATAAAACGGTGATATGATTAAAAATAACACTTGTATTATATAAGTGTTTCAAATAAATTGTAAATGTATATATGTGTATGTGTGTGTGTGATTCGCGAAGTTTCATGATATATATATTGATCTATAAAAACACAGAAAATATAAAAAAATAATTTTTCAGGTATAGTAGATTTATAAAGTTCATTTACATTGCTTAAATGTGTTAAAATTTTAAAACTATAACATTTAAAACATTTATAAATATTCCGTTATTATGCGATTATCATAAAAATTGTATAATGTTGATTTGAAAAAAAAAGAAGCTATTATAGCAGGTAATTCCTAATTTGCTTCAAAATGATTTTAAGTTTCGTTATACAAAACGGTTAAATTTTTAGTGTATTCTATACCCCGTAATATGTTTTGATCATACAACGTTGCAGTGTACACAAAAATACATATGTACCTAAAAAAGTTTCGAGAATTTCAAAAATTTCTTGCAAAACACTGATTTTTTTTTCACAGTGCGAGAAAGAACAAGTATTGGTCGCAACTAACTTTGACTACGTTTGCGCTGGGAACTAATTTTGAAGAGATCGTATAGTGTCATTAACTACAAGAAAATTTTTTTTTTGAAATCTGAATTGTTTCAGATCTCTTTCTATACAAGTTTATATTATTATGAAATATTTCTTATAGCTATAAAGTTGCATCCTAGGATTAACGAATTACAGACATCTGCGTTTTTCTCGCATTTAGTCATAGCAGAGATATAATATCCATGTGTGCTAAAAAATCGTTCCCTTCCTAATAAAATTATTTTACATAGTCAATATTCACACATTTTCTATTTCACAAGATTACTTTTTAAATAATAATATCACATCGCTATATAAAAAAAATATTTTTCTCAGAACTAATATAAAATATATATCACCTTATATTTTTTGTCACTCAAAGTGACATAAAAGTAAGAATTTGTTAAATTTGTTATCTATATCACAGCCTAGATTTCAATAGCTAGACCTAGACAACCTTTCATTAAAGTACGCGTCCACATATCGTGGTTGTCATAGGTAAAAAGAAGTACCGTCTAGGCTGATCAAATGTTTAATTCGTCACATATGATTATATTTAGAGTAAAATTTATTAGAATAAGATTTATTATTAAATGAGTCTCCGGAGATAAAAGCATTTACGAAGTGTAAAATCATCTGTTTGAACAATATTAGTTGCATGTTTGTTAGCCTATTATATAAATTCCAATCAACTTTATCAGTACATAAAGTCTGTCAGCAAATGTTACAAAGTAATCCTCATACAATCTGTTCACATAACATATATGTATATGTTCTAAAAGTCACAAAAATAATTGTATATAAAGTGTTTAAAATATGATTCATATTGAGTAATCGATAAACGATCACTTTGTAATTTTTGCTAATGGTTCAACGTCCCACCCGAAGATTAAAGTAAAATTATGTATATGTATATATATAATAACAGTTTTACAAAATTTACTCACCTCGTTAACAGGTAGTTCATTGACTAGCAGTTTCGAGTAAGTAAGCTTATCTTGTGATTGCAGTCTCTTCTCCGTTAAAAAAGATTCTTGATTAATTATATTCAGTTCTAAATGAATATTATGTCGTTATTAAATACGGGAACGTGGAAGATTCTTCAAAAAAATGCTTTTTTTCTTATTATTTATAGCGATTCTTAAAAAATCAGGATAATACACAAAATTGTCATAATATCGTCACAAATAATGAAAATGGAAATTACATTGATAGAGGATCCTTGAACTGCAGACATATCGGACTATTTTTGTATAAAGAATGTTTTTTTACCATCCATTGTATAAGAATTAAAAACTTCATATGTATAATTAAATAATGAAAATTAGTCATACAACTCTTTTAACAATTGCAGATTCTTATCAAAATCACTTTTATAAATCTTGTTTCAAATACTCCACAATCATTTATTAGAAAATTTGTTTTAAAGAGAAACTTAGCTAGTATAAAATATTCTTTTATCGATATTTTCTGATAGCATATTTTAATTTCTGTAAACTTACGATGCGCGCATCGATTTATTTAATGACAATTATTATAAATTCTAATTTTCCATACACAAATTATACATGAAGTACAATTTTAAGCAATTTAAATCTTTCAGATACACGGAGTAAAAATAAAAAAAATTTTTTTAAATTTAAAAAAAATTAAAAAAAAAATAAATAAATAATCATAAAGCATACGGGAACCCTCCTTAAAAAAAAATTCCAATTTGTAAAATCTTGTCTATAGAAGATATATAAAATCGTTGAACTGAAAGTAAAAAAAAACTGTAATCAGGAAATATTTTATGTAATAGCAAAAGAGAAATATAATCTGTAATTTAAAATCAGTTGTGTATGCAATTTATATGAAAGAAATAGAGTAATAGATAGTAAAAATAAATAGTAATCAGTCAAATTAATATGTATATATATAAATTTGTATATTGTATACCTTTATTTTTAAAATCACGCCTCTCTCTATAGATCAAGTTTTTTTTTTCACAAAGTATTGAATATTATATTTGCGGATAATATACTGCGCGCGTATGTGTGTATATATGTGTATATATAATATCTTATACTAAAATAATCACTGATGGATATTTAAAAACTGACAAATTTGCATATCATGATGCGTTCACCATGCTTAGCACACCTAGACAATGACATAATACTAATCTTCAGAATAAAGCAAGTGTATTAGTGCAGATTTCGCTTGGAATCATTGCATTCCAGTCATGACGTCTGTCGTCACTTATACATTAATATTGTTTTTATAATTTAGATAAAGTACAAAACAATAAGATAAAGAAAATCCAGTCTGATCAAAAAGTTAATTTTTCATTAATTAATTTATCAAAAAGATAATAAAATTGTAGCCTGCTATGTTAAATATAATCTAATTTTATGAGAGAAAGAATAATTATAAATGATATTGTCCAAATTTCTACAATGAAAAATTTAATAAAGTAATGGCGTATTAAAAAAAAAGCCATGTCATAAGACAAAAATGAAGTTATACTCTGTTATCCTAATATTATTTACATTTTCAAAACATCTTCAAATAAATCATCCCTTTGAATCTTACTTCATAATTTATCTCATATTTAATATATAAATATGAGATAAATTAACTATAATAACTCAAATTCCTGATTATATATATATTTATGATATACAGATTATGGTTTCCTCATATTTATATATCATAAATATGAAATACATTAACTATGAAGTATAAGACTCAAGTTTATGACGTGTTTGAAGTCAGGACACGAGTTGAAGATGAAATTGCGAAAAAAATTGTGTTCAATAATATAATATATGTGAAATATTACTTTTGAATTAATGATATTTTGCATGGACTTCTCAGCGTATAAACAGCAATTTAAAGCAGATTTCTAAAACGTATAAGTAAATCGATGGCATTAATTCTCTTAATAATTGAATATATCGTTAGTTGATATCCAACGGGAGTACATCGAGAAGAAATGTCATCTGGAGGACACAGAATCTGTCAAAGTATCAAAACACTATGGCGTCTAAATCCAAACTTTCACGCATCTCGAATATTCGCAAATCGGAATATTTATTCTGGATGATGTCCAATATCATTCTTATAAATCATATTCCATCTTCTACACTACTCCTTCTCCATTTCCTCTTTGGGTTATCAAGATAGCCAAGTGATATAAAAGTGAGAGAAATGAATGAAGGACATAGTACAATTTGTAGTGTCGCTTCAAGAAATCAACGGAACAAGATTCCATATTGCGCATTGCTTAATATCGTCGGCGTTTGTTAGGATAATCGTCTGGGCGATTTCGGTCGTTTCCTTGCCAACGTCCACTACCACCACTACCACCGCGGCTACCACCCATATTGCCCATATCAACCCTCATATCCATTAAATCCATTATCTGTCCGCGGTCATCGTTATAACCACCTCCCCCTCTACTACCGCGATCCATATTATTATACGCATCCATGAAGGATTTTGGATCCTATAGAAATATGCAAAGAATAAGAATCGTATGGGAATTTTTGTTGGTAATTATTGATGAGAAAGTCGTTCGCACATCACAGAGGAATGCACAATACGCGTGTGTGCGTGTGATTTGCGGATGTACCATAAGTACATTCCGTACGGTTCAGGGCGACCATCCATGTTTGACAGCAGCACAGGTCATCGTCAATTTTCGTCAAATCACATAGAAAAGAAAGGGGAAAACACAATGTTAGATTGCTGTTTGTGCGTTGATGTGCGCAGTTTACACTGCATTAAATACAGCTCTTATTAATATAGATTTTCTTTTTTTCTGGCGGATATACGTTCTGTGACATCGATTAATTATTAGACCAAGAGAATGCCCAACATAGACGAAACAGACAATACTTTCGTTAGGGCAATATCAATGGGTAAATATCAGTGTGTAATCGTTTACTATACTTTCATAATTTTATCTCATACAATTTATCCTCTTAAACACGACTTCGATCCAAGAGTAAAAACCGAAATTCGCAAACTGCATTTTAGACATAACAATAAATACAATCGCTCCGCGATTGTATTACGTGCCGACGAATCGAGAATTTTAAATTACAGTTGAAGTATGATTAAGAAAGATAAATTGGTCAATTGATAAATTATTATAAAGATTATTGCTATTTTTTATTTCTGTAATAATGCAATTGATATGTTTAGTATGTATCAGGGATGCTATAAATTGGGTGATGATAAAGTCCATTTCATTTTACATATCGCATAGCGATAAGCAAAAATTGTCTATGTGTTCCCTGTATAGATGTACATAGTACAAACGCCATGTTTGTACGCCTATATACTACATGGTTAATTTAAATAAGTTTTTCTCCCACTCCCAATAAAGTATAACAATTATTAAGTAGTCACATAATTGTTGTATATTGGAGAATTTACGAACGGGCTTATACCTCGTAATCAAAGAGTAATGAGGAATTGTATCAATAAATGCATATCAAGATATGTCGAAATAAAAAGTGGTCAATTCATCGGTTTATCATGTGATAAATCAATTTCACGCATTAAAAGAAGTTGAAAATAACTTCCGTTGCTTAAGAGTAAGGTACTGACATTAAGCTTCTACGTAATCTTTAAGTTCCGAGCACAAATGTAAGTAGCAAAGAGGCGTGATCAAGATCTCTAAGCAAACTTTTTTTTAGTGCTCGTACTTTAAATACGTACTGTATTGCATAAGTCAGTATTATTATAAATATATAAAATATATATATTATTTTATATAATATAAAATATGAATATTATTATATAAACATACACATATAACAATGTGCATGGATATTAACATTCTGTATAAAGAGTATGCTTCCAAGTATTAAAGTCGTCCTATAAAGTTTAAAACAAATAGACAAAATTCAAATCAATCTAATTGAAGAATCTGCCAAGATATATGAGAATTAAATTTCCTGAGATATTTTCGTCTCAATATCTTAATAAAACTATAGATAAAAGTCTAGTTGGGCATTTCTTGGTCAATATATAATACATAGCTACTATGGAACTGTATTATTTCGCAAATATTTTTTCGCCGCATTATTTCTTTCATAATTTATCACAGAAAGCATGATAAACGCCGCGATACCAAATTATGAACGTTTCATAGTAGATGTTCCATAGTAAACGAAATTGATCTTAACGCTACAACAGAATAATAGATCACAGAGTCTCCTGTCTGCAATCATGTGGAGAGACCAATGTGGCATTTGTATTTGTAGATCTAAGTAATTTCTATGCAAGTGTGTACGAAGAGTTTAAGAGGTATATTATCATAATGATAGGCATTAATTTATACCTAGCATTATCTTATAAGTCAATTTCGAAAGACCAGAAATATCACCTAAAGTAAGTTTTTCTATATATCCTAATTATATTTTAATTAATCGATATATATAGCGAAACCTGTCAAGTAAATATTATTCATAAAATTGTCGAGGTTAATTAACGGTGTTATTTCACCACTAATCCTAACTACAATGTTTGTAGCAGAGAGTAGTAAAAGGCTTCTTTTATAATTAAAACTGCAGTTTATCAATTTGTCCCAACCCTGCAGTAAAATTTAGATATTGCGCTGTTCGCATACATAACGCGCTTGGCAATATGTAATAAGAAAGTCAGACTCAAGTAAAACTTTCAGAGTAAAATCATTGGCATCGGCATTTCCCATGGATGATTTCGCACATAAAGCGAGCAATAAATTTTATAAATTGAGATATTCGTGCATCTTGAAGATGCGAAACGAAACCGTATTTATCGTCAGTAGAAATATGCTCATCTTTCAATTAGATATAATAATATCTAATAGCTATATAATAAGTTTAGATTTTTTGCATACAGCAATGTCGATTAATAAAGATTATTTTGAATATAACTAAAAAGTTATTGTTACAGTATTGACACTTCATGTAATACTGAAGTGTTGTTTTTCATTGTCCAAGTATGTCACTATGCACATCATTGATTCCTCCACATGTTATAATTATCAAAAATCGATTTTTATGATACTTTATTATTTGATTAAAATCAAAATAATGAAAGAAATATTCGTTGACTTTGCAGACATTAGAACTCTGTTTATATTGAAGAGCATGCTCAATTGGGAATAATACTAGGGATAATATTTTATTAACCCTCCTGATTTAACTTTGTGGTGTTATATATCATATCAATATCTGCGTTTTGCAATAAATCATGCATGACGCAATATTCCACTCATTGTAATGACTAAAGTTTGCGCAAAATGCATGAGAATATATTTCAAAGTTGTACCGCTCGAGAATGGAAAAAAAGAAAATGTCTATAGAAAGGAATTAAATCCCGTAAGAAAGAACAACTTAATGCTAGAATATGGATTAAAAAACAAAGTAGTAAAGAAAAGGGATACGTTACCACAGGTATGCCGCTTCCACCTGGAATAATACAATTATATCATATAATACGAGATGTAAAAATATAACAATACACTGAAAAAAAAATATAAATGGATATATAACTCTATCACAAGTTTGTAAACTGTATGTGTGTAGTTATAATTATGCATATATATCTATGCATATATATATAAAATATATAAATTTTATGAAATTATACTATAGTTCTAATTATATCTTGATATAGTTTTGAACGATTTCTTTTTCTTATATAAAAACTGAACACTTACCATCAGGTTGACCATATCCATCACGATCATTGTTGCTTACAGAATCGTAATTTTTTCCGCTTCCACTACGGATTGCCTGCTCCTTGAATATAAAAAGAGATAATTATAAGAGAGTATATAATAATTTAAATAATTAATTTGTCATTTTAAGAAAAAAACTATAGGGTAGAAAATTATCATTTGCTAAGGATTCAGAGAAAGATGCAACGTGTGTGGGAAGTTCAAAACTTTATTTAACACAACCTTATGGCTTCCCACACAAGATGTATTTTTCTCTGAACCCCTGCAAATGGTTATTTTCCATTCCGTACAATATTACGACCATGAAAAATTTCAACAAACCTGCATAAACAAATTGTTCTCTTGTTGACGCCTGTGTAATTCTTCTTCTTGTCTCCTTATCCGTATCGCCATTTCTTCCTGTTGGCGACGTCTTAATTCCTCCTCGCGAGTCCTCTGTTCTTCGGCTTGTCGCTCTTTCATTTCCCACTCTCTTTTCTGTCTTTCGCGATCCGCCTCGCGCATACGCAATTCTGCGGTATAAAAAATACGATTTATATGATATTATAAAGATAGTATTTTAAATACTAGTACACACATTAAAATACATACGTTCTCTCAAAAGTTCTGTTTCATGTTCATATCTGGCGAACTCCATTTGAGCTTCTAATTTTTCTTCTTCCATCGCCATTTCTCGTTTTAATGCCTCCTCTTTCTGTTTGTACAGTTCGTGTAATTGCTTCCATCGTGTACCGTACTCGTGCTCGAAGCTTCCTAATTGCGCAAAACGCGGCCCAATTTCACGTGCTTTGAAAAATTCTGGATTTTTGCGTGGCAGATTCTTGTCAGGATAACCATCCACGTCATCCTGTTGCTCAAATAGTTCCACGACTACTGGTCGAAGAGAACTAAAATAAGATAGAATCAAATTCTTTAAATTTAAATTTTTTCATATCAATAATTATTTTGAATTTAATAATCTTGTGTTTCACGTGTCAGCACACAGCAAATTATAGATTTAATTGACCATGTTTCCTATGTGAAACCGTATTTTTCTATACCCCTAGAATTGTTAGGCACTTGTAGATTACAATACATCAAACAAGCGTGGCGTCGGGGATTCGTTAAAGTATGTTGAAAGATTTTAGAAACTTACGCCGTGACAAAGTAGCAACCTTCTGTACATTTTCTCAGAGCCAGCTGAGCGGATGGTTTTCGGCAGAACTCAACGATTCCTTCACCAGTGCTTTTGCCTCTTTCGTCAACTTTAACTATCGCGCGCTCGATTTCGCCGAATACTCCAAAGGCTCTTTCGAGAAGTTCGTTGGATGTCCAAGGAGTGAGATTTTTTATTTTGATCGTCGATGAATGAGGGGCAAAACGTACCTTTAATGCACGACCTTTGCGCATTGTACCATCTAATTCACGTTTTGCTGTGTCAGCATTTGCTTTATAATCCTAGGAATAGAAGAAAAAAGAATTATCTTCTAATATACCACTATAAAAAGTGTTATATATTTTAGTAACAATAATCATTCAAAATTTAACAGCCAAAAATTTTCATCATGGTGCATCAAACGGTAATTATTCTAATCATTTCATATTGTAATAAGAAAAATTTATGTGGTTATATAATTTAATAATAAAGTAATTATATATGATTTGTAATTACCATTCTGAGAAAAGCAAAACTTTTCTCTTTATTTACAAATAGTTCAGATATTTCTCCATATTTTTGGAACATAGTCTGTATTTCTTCCTCAGTCACATCGTTTGTCAAATTTCCAATATATAAACGATTCCTGCCACTAAATTTCTTTTCCGTCGTATCCTGCAGAGGTAATTCATGAGTGGGCCCACCAATAGCCATGACTCGTTCCATTAATCGATCCTGAAAGTAACATCCAAATCTAATCAAAACAGCCATCTTGATAAAAGGTACTTATCATACATACATATATATGCCAAAAAAAAAAAAAGAAAAAAAAAAGAAATATATAAAAAATATTACATATAACTTACATCTTGAGATCTGTTGACCATGTTTCTGTCGCCACCACCACGACCACCTCTTCCACCTCCTCGCATTCCACCACGGCCCATACCCATGCCCATACCCATGCCACCACCCATTCCACTTTCAGGCAATGGGTTATCCATCCCTCCATCCATGGAGTCATTCATTTTCATCTATTAAAATTAAATAATTATCTCCATGTAATAAGATTATAAAAAAATATTGGGTCAGTCAAAAAGTTTGATTTAATTTTCAATAAATGATGACACATAATGTAATATAAGCAACAATATTAATAATGTTTATATATTATATATGATCTTAAAGGTAACAACTTTAGCTATTTGTGCATAGCATTAATGCATTTATATTGCAGTTAAGTACTGCATTTGTTAATTAAAAATGAGTGTTAATGAAGTGCATTTGCGATATATGTTGTTTAAGTTTAAAGAAGACATTTCTGCTATCATCAACAGCATTTGTAAAGTTTATGGAGATACTACGGTGACTATTAAAACAGTTAAAAAATTATTTGCACATTTTAAACATGGCGATTTTAATTTAGAATATAAATCACACACTAAACGCCCAATAGAAGTGAATGATGATTTAATTATCAATTTCATTAATTATGTTCTAACTGTCTTAACTAGTCACTGCAGTTTTTCCAAAAACTTTAACCATGCGGTTGGTGACAGAAACATTTACATCTTCGCTAAACTTAAATAACATATGATGCAAATTCATTTTATTAACGCTCATTTTTAATTAATAAATGCAGCACTTAACTGCAATATAAATGCACTAATGCTATGTGCAAATAATAGCTGAAATTGTCATCTTTAAAATTATATATATAATCGTATATATCGTATATATAATATAAAAATATTATCAGTATTGCTGCTTATATGCGAGCTACTGAAAATCGAATCAAACTTTTTGACTAACCCAATACATATAAATCTTTTAATATAATTTAAAATTGGTTTTTTCGTAATATTTCATTTATACATATTTTCATATTTAATTCATTTTAATTAAAAATATCGTTATTAATATATTTATCAAAATATTCATTCGTTTATCAAAGTTTTTTATAATTGTATTAACTTCTCACTGAATGATAAAAATATTCATCTCAAGCTCTTTGAGAAGCACGTGCAACGCGGAATTTTAGGAACACGAACCGCCATTTTGCACGCAAGGACGCCATTTTATATCTATTCGGCCGACTCTAAAAGTACGTTACGGATGATTCATATCAATTGCTCAATATTTAAACATTACCGAATTTAACGAGGTAATGCGGCATCGTAAGCGTATAAAAGTATGTCAATCACAAACGTATGGTTTATTCCAATTTCAATAACCATGCGCTATATTTTCTAGAAAACGCAGTTCTCTTGCATAAGCTATTTCTCGAACTCACATCGAAAAATTTTGGAATAAAATCCTTCATCTAGAATTGCTCTCGTATAAAGAAAATGCAATTTCGTAATCTAGGCCCTCGAATATCGTCCGAGAAATAAGCGGACGCGACCGGCTCGTGAACGAATTAGTTTCATTTCATCAACATGGCGCCGAGACGACGCGAATTTTTTGCGGGTAATATTCCAAAAAAAAAAAAAAAAAAAAAAAAAAAACAGAGAAGTTAAGTTTTTGCTTCGTTTAAATTAATCCCCAACACACGTAATCATTATCTCTAAAATTAATTACATTATTTATCAGAGAGAGGATCGTCGCCGGTTGTGAAAAATGTGTAAATTGTAAGAACGTGCATTTTTTGGGAGGAAATCACGCCGGCGCCCTGGCCGATTCACACTCACCTGTCTGTAAGTATCCTCGATGGTTGGTATGTAGGACTCGCGGAAGGATCCTTTCACAAAACGCAGCACGAGGGAACTCTTGCCGACGCCGCCCGCCCCGAACACGACCACACGATAGTCGTTGCTCTGCTCCGGCATCCTGACATCTGCCGTCCCGGCAACGTAAACCCCCGACGCTCGGGGTCCCTTGCGCACGGAGAGAGCGAGATAGACGACGAGGGGAAGGGGGTGAGTGGGTGGTCGCGGGAGGGAAAGGGATGGGGAGCGTGGGTATGTGTACGAGACGATCACTCTTCGCAAAAAACCTCTCCTCGCAACCCCCGAACACCGCTCGACCTGTCGCACGACACGCAAAAGCTGTACTAGGTGATCCACGGAACCACCCCCGATGTCCCTTTAATCGGTCAATTCGAAGACGATCTCCTTTTGACGTTTCTCGCATTTTTTTTTTCAATTTTTCAACAGCACCGTAATTAATCCGCGAATTAAAAATGTCCGTGAAAAAAATTTTAATATCTTGAAATTAATCACAAACGTCGTTGTCTCTCTCTCTCTTCTTTCAAAAATTGATCGTCTCGATATCTTGGTCGCGAGGAAGAATCGTCTTCGGATCGCCCGGGAATTCTGATGCAAAAGGACATCCGACGGTCCCGGAACACCCCGTATAAATGATGCGCACGCCATAGATCTCCGTCTCGCGCTTCGCCCACGCGGTTAATAATCTGAACCCGTGAAAGGTTACATCCGTCCGTCCTCCTGCGCGTATCTCGTGACGTAGACTCTCCGGTGACGACACCCACGAAGCCGCATTCCCTACTGCATGGGTCCCTTCCTCCTACACAGCCTTGCGCGGGTCTCGCTATCTCGTGCGCTTCCTCGATAACATATATATATATATATCTCTTCCCCTAATGTCCTCAAATTTATATATTTAAATTTAAATATTCCGAGAATATATAAAAATATTTCCTTTACAAATGTATAAAAAATACTTTTAAAATAATTTTAAGAGCTTTCTCGCAACCGATGCGACCATGTGCGTTCACCGTCCGCGAAAAGTCTGTTCGTTTCACTTGCGTCTTCTATACCTTCCTGCAGTTTTCTCTCCTCCTCCACTTAAAGTCCGCGAATATACTTTTTTTTATGTAAATTTTAATTTATTTTTTTTTTAGAGGGTGAAGCTAAGAAGGGAATGAAGCTAAAGTTGAAAGAAACCGAATGAGTTTGTCATAATTGTATGTTCTCTTGCAATTTGTGCATTTAAAATGAAAATAATCGATATGTCACAGAGTGAGAAGGAGAAAAGATATAAAGTATAGGAAATGCAATCAAGGTGAAACAGTTTTGATGAGTCCTATTCAAAGGCAGTACGATTCGAAAAAAAAAAAAAAAAATAGTTTTTTTCCTATTTGAATGTAGAAATATAATTACAGATATTATATATATGATTGAGAATAGCAATATATGTAAAGTAATCGAGAATTTCAATTAATATATCTGATATTAAAAATTATACAATATAAGAGTTAATTATATAAAGAAATGATTTTCTGTCAATTCTGTCAGCTCGAATGGCTCAAAAAGATCAAAGACGCGGAAAAGGATTCGTGAATTAAACGAAACTGGAATTTTCCGATCAAACACACCGGCCAAATTTCGGTAAATTTCATTCTCGACGTATACAGATGCTAAATACACCTTACCTATCATCAGTGTTTGCATTGGCAGAAATAAGGACGGTTCTCTCTGTCTCGTGTGTGTGTGTGTGTGTGTGTGTGTGTGTGTGTGTGTGTGTGTGTGTGTGTGTGTGTGTGTGTGTGTGTGTGTGTGTGTGTGTGTGTGTGTGTGTGTGTGTGTGTGTGTGTGTGTGTGTGTGTGTGTGTGTGTGTGTGTGTGTGTGTGTGTGTGTGTGTGTGTGTGTGTGTGTGTGTGTGTGTGTGTGTGTGTGTGTGTGTGTGTGTGTGTG